AAAATAAACTTTAAAGCTGGTAAAAACGTATTTGTTTATTTTTAATTACAACCACACGGGCTCGTTTTACAGTAGTAATTGGTGTAAGGGGGGTACGATTTAAAGTCCACATTTTCTAATCGATTTATATTTTTTCTGAAACGTAATCGCGTTTCAGGTTCATTCAGGATTCTCGAATATCCAAAGCCAAAATTATAACGTTGTTTTATAAGTCTGGGATATACCACCTACCATCAAGTGAAAACCATGCTTCTCTGTCCTCTATCATAATAAATCTTAAAGTATTTATTTATTTACATCCCTTATACCCCAATGTCCCTCGAAAGTCTCTCAGTGTCGCTTACATCGACCCATTTGATTATCTTGTTTACGTTTCATCTTGTTTATTATGAAACTCGGCGCTTGTGTACTATTTTAATTAAATCTCATTTGTATTCTGTGATAGACGTGATCTAATGATAGCAAATTAACTGTACGAGTAATTAAATAAGATATAGACCAATGAAGATGTGCGACGCCTATTTGAAAATTAGTTGTGTCAGCGACTTCGTCCGCGTAGAATAGTTTGAGGACCAACATTGCCCACGACCCACGACGTCGCCCGCGTCCCATCGTTCTTGCAAGTTAATCTTAAAAGATAAAAAATCATATTTTTTAGATCATTTAAAGAAAAATCATTCTTTCATACATATTTTTTGGGTATCTTGAACGGTTTTCACAGGGTACGAAACGCATGCCCACAAAGGTGAATAATTTTCCCCGTTTTATCCACATTTCCCTCTTCTCTTTGCTCCTCCTTGCTAGTCTCAGCGCAATATTTACTTAACAAAAATATTGTTTTTAATTCCGACCAGTTGTTCCCGAGATTAGCTCGTTCAAACATACAAACTCTTCGGCGTTATATATAAGTATGTCTATAATTTCGACTTTCATTGGTCTTTAGCCAATTCATATAGAAAGGCGTGATTCTCCTTTCTTTAAAAATATGAACGTAAATGACAATATTATGTAATTTGTTTGTTTTGTTCAATAATTTGAAATGCGCCACAAACAAAAATTATCGTGTGTATTTTTGTCTTGTTAAAGTATTTGTTTTGTTGGAGATGTCCATTCTTCTCCAAATGTTTATGTTTTATTGATTGATTGTTCAATCGAGGCCACTCATCAGACTTCCGTGATGGAATCGCAAATAAAATACTGCGCAAAAGCAACATACGGGTAGACTAGCTGTAGCCCCGCGATGTGAACAGATAATATTACAAAATAGCATAGCGACATATTTGGCAATTAACGAAATTATTTTATCAAGTATACTATAAATAATTGGCTATCGGTCTAAAATATTATGATTGGTTTTACCTCCTACTCCGTGGCTCAGTTGCAGCTTTCGAAGTACTGAAGTTGGAGCCCGTGAAAAAAAAATTGTAACTGTATACAATAATATTTTTGACTCGTTTGACAGGGCTTTATTTTTCTCTTACCTAGCATTAAATAATAAATCAGCGACATTCACAATAGATTTTATCAAAATCAGCCCAGCCGTTAACGTGAAACTTTATTGAAAATCAATATACGCACTAAAATGCGATTCATGTGACGAAGCCGGGACGTCATATAGCATTGCACTGCGCGTTGCAATCTCGGTGTTAACGAACTCTGCGCGTGCGCCGATAGTGTTATCTTTATTGCACATGTTTTATGAGTTCTGTGCATTTTTAATTAGCTGCACGTTTTGCGTAAGAATATCAATTAAGATTACAACTGTGTTATATATTTGGGATAAAAAGTTAATTATTTATTATAATTCTCTTTACAGTCTATTCAAGAAAAAAATAATACAGAAAACCCAAAAGTTTTATAAATACAAATTGTATATCCACTTTAAGCACAGTATTGCATATTTCTAGTAAAAGATCTATTTTTTATTTTCTGTAAAGGAAATCATGGGAATTAACAAATACGTCACTTTACGAAATACATCTTTTACTTTACGAAATAAGCTGGATAAAATTCATTTAATTTTTAAACTCAAATGCGAAGAGTTCTAGATAGGATAAAAAATCCCAAAACGAGGTTCAGTTGAAATTCTGAACTGTTTTAAGAGTTTTATGTAAATCGCTCGCAGCGATGCGCTTTCGGAGAACTACATTTTCAATACAGCGTAGGTCTCTTCAGAGATATTTTTATTTTTAATTGGACCCTTGAAAACGCATGCGCGATGTTATAAGTGGTAAAAATGTATCATTTTAATATTACACCAATAATGGTGCACTTGCTTTACTTGGTATAAAACTAGCTGTGCCAGCAACCTCGTCCGCGAAAATCGTTATTTTGGGCAATAATAATAAATTAGTTTTTTGCAAACCACGCCTTTATATAAACTTAAGCTGTTAGGCAATAGAATTTTTCAATTCGAACCCATAGTTCTTGAGATTAGCGCGATCTTCAGCTTTATATATTAGTATAGATTCGCTTAGTAATTTCATAGTAGCGGGTAATGTTCTGACCGCCTAGCTTAGTCATCAAACTAGTTGCTTAGATTTGCTTTCCTGGGTTCGAATCCCAGGTCGTTTCCGTGAACCCAGACAGGACATAGATTTCTGACCAACCTCTTGCCTCAAAGTAAATAAGAAACGGATTTAGAAATGTGTTCGTCCCGTGCCCTAGAGGATTTACTTCATCTTTTTCAGGTTTTCCACTAGAATCGAAGCTTGCAATACAATACAGATATATTAGCTTTAAAGTCTGAAGAATTATTTCTGGAATACTGTCTGTAGTTTACGCTAGCAACATTTAAATAAAACACTAACGATTTGAAACGGTTTTAAACGGGGTGTCTCCCCGGTCCCCTGCGGCTGAAAGCATCCGAAACGTCGGGCCGTAGTTAACATATTTTTAAAATCAGTTGAACTTATACGTATATATACGCTTTTTAAAACTGTTAAAGTATTTTTTTTAAATTAAATGTGGTCCTTTTCACAGGTCTTATTGTAGCCAAATCATACGTCAAAGATAAAAAACATATATAAACAATAAAACTAACTTATTAAAAAAATCACACCAACCTAATTAAAACTAAAAACAAGTTGAATTAATCGCCTCATAAATCGGTAACACTCTAGAATAGAAAGTGCTGACGAATGGCTAGACGTCAGTTCAAATACGACTAACGAAAGCACCCATCGGGTAAATTATTGTATGTATGTTTGCCTAACTTGTTGACTTCTTTTATGTAATTTGCTTTTTGTATGTAAAATTTGTGAAACAAAGTATGCTTGACATTATAAGACAAAGACGCGATGTTATTACTACAAAAGAATAGTTTAACAAAAATATTATAACTATATTTTTTTTACCTAGGTAAATATTTGCATTTTAGATTCTCATATATACAAAGAAGAAAAAACTTGTATATTCTAGTGTAATAGTTTACGCCAGTCGTACATATTTAAATTCAAACTATTTAACGGTTTAAAACGCAAAATAAGGTCTCGGTTTGCATCAGCCCTGGTCACAAACTGAAAATATACCAAAAAGGTCTTTAAAAATTTTTTTATTGAAAATAAAAAGAATTTTTAATGGATAATTCTATAAAAAAATAATTACAACGAAAATAATTGACTTTATTTAACCGTCAATAAATATTATTTCTAATTAGCCAATTAACGAATCGGAACACAACTGTGCCATGACGTTTGCGTGCTTAAAGTTATAGGGTAGAAGGCAACGAAGCAAGTTCACGATCGTGATATCAAACGATTTTAATAAACAAGACAGGGTACCTTACTACCAACAAATTTCCCATAAGAATAGATTACGTAATGAGGTTATTACGACGTTTATATCAGGAAGGAGAAATAAAGCTAACTGAGGCAACGAATGTCTGTGAGGCTTAAAAGTGATAAAAAATATTTCGCGTTCTAAACCGTTAAAAAAAACGTGTGAAAAGCAACAAGTTAATGAATATGAGTTATTAACTTATAAATTAAACGTGTATAATGTGGTTTTGAGTGAAGACACAAAATAATTATAGAAATGTACTGTTTATAATTAATTAAGGGTTTAGGTCAATGGATATTGTCTTGCGAGAGTATCGATTGACCTAAACTAATTTATCACTGGGCTATCTTTCTGTGTCAACGACGATGATTGACAAAGGAATCGTTGTATTTAGCGATCTAGACGATTCTAGAACGGGAGTCGCTAGATTCAATTGAATGATTGGTCGCGGAAACCACTAGAGCTCCACTGATTTGACATTGCTGTTAATGTCGTCGTGTATTCAATCATAAAATATGACCTTGGGGGGCTCGGTCGAAATTTTCCGTCCTGGTTTCAAACTACAAGTATTTTTTTCCTTATCAGCAGTCCTTTATAAGATTTCCGACATGTTGTTTGTCTACTACTACTAACTAGCTATGCGACTTCGTCCGCGAAGAATAGTTATTTGGGCATCTTAATTTGATTTTGGAAACCTCCTCTTCATTTTCATAATCTTAAGCTGTTACACCCGACGTTAGTCGTGTCCCGTCGTTCTTACAAGGTCATCTTAAAAGATAATCCTATAGTGTCGCCGACATTTTTTTTTTTTTGATAATTTAAAGAGGAATCATTTTGTCATACATATTGTTTGGGTATCTGTTTTTGCAGCGTACGCATCGAAAACCCACAGAGATGAATATTTTTTGCTCCCATTAGTCACAGAGCGATGTTTCATAGCCTGTAATAGCTTTCTACGATAAATGATCTAACCAACACCAAAAATAATTTTGCAATTCAAACCAGTAGTTCCCGAGATTAGAGCGGTCAAATAAATAAACGCACAAACTCTTCATCTTTATATATCAGTGTAGATTGAAATGGTACAAATAGTAACCGTTATATTTTTCTGTACAGGATAGAGAAATGGTTTAAGACTGTGGAAGGTGTGGACGTGGTTGTGTGTGCCTTCGAAAATAGTCGATTTTGAATACACTTGAATTGTCTAATATTGATTCCAGGTGGAACAGCGCGATGTCCCAGGAATAGACTGCGCCCACCTCGCCATGGACACGGAAGAGGGCGTGGAGGTGGTGTGGAACGAAGTACAGTTTTCCGAGCGAAAGAACTTCAAGGCTCAAGAGGATAAGATACAAACGGTCTTCGATAACCTCACCAGGCTGGAGCATCCGAATATCGTCAAGTTTCACAGATATTGGACGGATACACACAACGACAAGCCAAGGGTAAGTGATTGAAGACGGGTTTTTTTTTTATAATGTATTGTGTAAAACCCTAGTAAAATATGTAGGACACAATGCACAACCATACTTTTTTATAATTAAGACCAACTAAATATATGTGTGCCGCAATACATAATATATTAAACACAATAAAAAAATCCTTGTAATGTGTGGTAACTCAACATATTGTAAGTGTGTAAAGTAAATCTAATAACAATATTATAACTTATTGGCAGTCATTTACACATACTTTCTGGAATTTCTTTTGATATGTCCAGTTTTTCAATGCATAACATATATTATGTAGATGACTAATAAAATAACGTTTTCAGGTCATATTCATAACGGAGTACATGTCGTGCGGTTCGCTGAAGCAGTTCCTGAAACGAACGAAACGCAACGTGAAAAGGTTGCCGCTGCAGGCTTGGAAACGATGGTGCACGCAAATTCTCTCCGCTCTTAGGTAAGTTATCTATTTCCTTCTTTCTATCACAAGTCTTACCTCAAATTCAAAACTTTTTTTGTTAATTTAATAAACTTATAATGAAATTGGATAAATGAAAAATATATATAAATAACGAATACATAATAAAATGGCAATCGGTACCAGTCTCAGCTGTGCTGCTGGATGCTGGTGACACTCAGCAGCGCTAGTTTTCAGACGGGCCCGGGTAAAGAAGGAGAAAAGTGAAGTGTTGTAAATGAGAGTTTATAATGAAGTCGATAGTCATAACATACATATACATAATAATAATCATTGATTGCTACACATCTGCTTTCCAAAGAGGTCCAGTTTTTCATGTCGCTTGAGAGTTCGTCGTTCCATATTTACGAAGCCGAAATATGCCGATATTTGAATCCTCCTTAGAAATTTGTCTATAGCTCTGTTTCCGTCGTAATTTCAGTTATCTTCACGGCTGCGTGCCGCCGATCGTGCACGGCAACCTGACGTGCGACACCATCTTCATCCAGCACAACGGGCTCGTGAAAATCGGCTCCGTGGCGCCTGATGCCATCCACCACCACGTGAAGACGTGCCGCGAGAACATGCGCAATATGCACCTTGTCGCTCCGGAGTATGGAAGTGAGTGATTTTTGTGATACAGGAGGACAAATGAGAATGAGGTTCGCTTGATGGTAGATGCCCCAGCCCTAGGGATCCTATGATGGTAGGTGATATACCACAGCCATATAACATCTCAGGAAAGAGGAAGAATAATTATATAAAAACAGCCCTAGTCAAAATAATGTTTAACAATAAGTGCTGATTGTTTTATCAATTTCGATTTTTTAACAACCTGTTGCAGAATTATTAGGGGACCTTCTCTAAAAATTCTTTTTTCTCTTCTTTTTATACTAAATTTTGGCATCTTTGTGTTCAGCTTCCCAAATGGTGACGCCCGCTATGGACATCTACTCGTTCGGGATGTGCGCGCTTGAGACGGCCGCCCTCGAGATCCAGGGCAACGGAGACTCTGGTGGCCACGTGACGGAGGAGCATATCGCGCGGACCGTCGAATCACTGGAGGAGACCCGCCAGAAGGACTTTATATACAGGTACAAACATTTGAAAACTCTTATTTACAGGGTATTGCACATGATGGCACTATGTATATAAATTAAAAAACGATTTTAAGTTGATAAAAAAATTAAGTACGAAAAGCTGTGAACGCCGGTTAAAGCCCAGCCCGTGTCGTATTTTTTTCAAACAACAAAGATACTTTATTAAATATTTTTTATAAAAAATAACATTTGAAAAACTTTAACTCTTTTCACATGCCATTTCACACGATAGCATTGTATTCTTTTATGTTCTGTATCGACCTTCGGATAGACGGAAAATCCTGAATATCTTAGTGATCCATCTTTTAACTTTTTATTTGTTTTTTTTTATGTAAATAAATAAATATATAAATAAAAAATCTATTATGATTTAATTCTTTTGTTACTTTATTACGTAAAGTGTTCAGTTTGAAATCACATTGCGCAAGATGTACATGCATGTATCGTAAGTGGATAAAAATTCGACAATTATTTGGAGGACACGGTAGTTCATCTAATTAGAGCAGCACGGAACGCTGTGGATGCCGGTTGAAGTGCTGCCCGTGTCGCAATTTTTTTCAATTTCAACGAGGGCCATCGCGCTGTACAATAACATTTGAAAAATATTACAGATTTCAAACGTTAAACTTTGTGATTTAATCATTGAACCCTTACATGCAATTGTTAAAGTTGACATCCTAACCGTGTCAATCGAAGTAGATTTTTAAGCTGACATTTTATAATTGTGAAAACTCGAATATGTATGGGGCCTTTGCCTTACAGGTGCATCAACAAGGACCCCGCGAAGCGACCTACAGCTCGCGAGCTCCTCTTCCACCCGCTGCTCTTCGAAGTGCACTCGCTCAAACTCCTTGCAGCGCATACGCTCGTCAATACCACGGGTAATTCTATCTGTGATACGCCAGGGGGTTTTAGTGTTCAGACTCCATCATAACCTTTTTTATAATAGGGGAGGACAGACTAGCATGGGTCACTTTTAGTGAAATATCCCAGCCATTTAACATCTCAACAAGTTTTTTGGCTTTGTATATTCGGAAAAAAAAAAAAAAAAAAAAAAGAAAGGGGGGGGGGGGGGGGGGGGGGAAAAAAAAAAAAAAAAAAAAAAAAAAAGGGGGGGGGGGGGGGGGGGGGGGGGGGGGGGGGGGGGGGGGGGCGGGGGGGGGGGGGGGGGCCCCCCCCGGGGGGAAAAAAAAAAAAAAAAAAAAAAAAAAGGAAAAAAAAAAAAAAAAAAAAAAAAAAAAAGGGGGGGGGGAAAAGGAAAAAAAAAAAAGAAAAAAAAAAAAAAAAAAAAAAAAAAAAAAACCCCCCCCCTCCCCAAAAAAAGGGGGGAGAAAGAAAGAAAAAAAAGGGGAAAAAAACCCGCCGTCCCCCCTTTTATCGCCAAGTTTCATTTTACATTATTTATGTACTTTTACTGCACTACATATTTTTCCTTGTAAAAGGTCCACCACACCCCAATCATTTTTATCATTAAATATTGGTAACAGACAATTTATATGAATATCAGTTTAATGATTATTTAATTCAAATTCAATTGGCAAACACTCGGGGGGGGTTTTGGGGGGGGGGGGGGGGGGGGGCTGGGGGGAAAAAAAAACTTTTTTGGGGGGGTTTTTTTGGGGGTCCCCTTTTTTTCCTTTTAAGGGGGGTTTGGAGTGGGGAAAAGTTTTTTTTTTTTTTAAAATATTCACCGCGTTTTTAAAAAATTAAGGCAATTAGTCTTTTTTTCATTTAGCTAAAGATTATTAGTATTAAACCAATAAAGTGAGAATGGAAATAGCACTTTAATTGTCATTAATACATTTTGTCTTAAAATTAATAAGGCATCTTTGTTAAAACGTATATTTAGGTAAATACAAGTAAAACAACATTGTACATCCGAAAGTACTTATAAGTAATTTATTATATCTTTGAAAATCTCAATTAATAAAATCAAAACTGTGCTAATGAATGAGTAATAAAACAAAATTACGAGAAGATGGGAGCAAGCCGACGACCTGACTTGTTTTACTTGGTACAAAAGGAAATTTTATTAACCGAGTTACTCGGCCGCATAACTCTATACTGTTACTTGGCAAAAGTATCGCGCATTTACTATATATATATTTTTTATAAATATATAATTATTAGATACTTCGGTCATATATATGTATTAACTATTATTATGCAGCTAACATATCGGAGACAATAACCGACGAGGTTTGCGGCAGCGGTGGCGCCCTCGCTTGGTGCTCGAGAGGCGGGGAGACGAAGGAGCTCTCTGCGAAGGACCTGCCACCACACGCAGAGAAACTAGAGAAATTCGTTGAGGACGTCAAGTGAGTCAACGAGTACCGTTGATACACAATTATTCTCTATCAATATTGGTTTTGACTTTTTATATTTTTCTTAGTAGAATCATAAAGTAAAAAAAAATATTTATATAGAACTAACTATGTACTTATGAATGGCAAACCAGTTAAAAACTAGACTCTAAATTAACATTTACTACCGGCTCTCAAATCAAGAGGGTAGAAGGAACGAGAAGAACTGGCAAGAAACTCTCCGCTTCTCCTTTTATCACCAAGTTCAATTTTACAGACTTCATTTTACTTCAAGTGCACCTTTATCTTTTTTCTTAGAATGGGTTTATTTCAACCAAGCATTTTCTTACCCCTTTCTTAAAACAAAGGAAGAATTTATTGAGATTTAAAAAAAAACAAAAGAATTGAGATTCCGAAGAAATTACCATCATTCCGAAGAATAGACACTTTGTTTTTTTTTTAATTTCTCAGTTAATAACGAGCTAGTTGTTATTCCAAAACATTCAATGCTTTTTCGCCACATTGAAACCTGTCTGTGTATATGTATAACCATAAACAGTACTGCGAACTCCAACTAAATTTTCAGATACGGTATCTACCCGCTCACAGCTTACGGTTGGTGGTCGGGCGGGAGACGAGCGTCAAGCGGGGGCAGAGCCCGAACGACCGCTGAGAGTGCCCCCGCCCCCGCGGAGCCCCGAGCCCGCGACCGCGAGACCAGACGCGTCGTCAACATGATGTGCTCACTCAAACCGCAGCATCACCATCATCATGCTGATGCGGATGTCACCGATCTTCTTGTAAGTTATATAATCTAAATAAAAAAAATCGAAAATAAATTGAAAAAAATTTCGACTCGCGCAGGACAACAGCACGGAACGCTGACGATGCCGGTGCAATTCCAGTCCGAGTCGATAAATTTTTTCGTATTTTTTTTTTCGATTTTTAAATTATATAAGTGCCTTCATGTGCAATAACATGAAAAAAAATATAGTTTTCAAAAGTTATATAATCGTTAAGATTCTAGTACAAAATACCAGATTTAGTGGTCTAAGAACGAACAAATTGAAGGGCTCGTTGTAGCAATGTATGGTTTAGTAATTAACGGGTGGGTTCGATCCCTAATAGGCCCCACATGTTTCCAATCTAAATAAAAAATGTTCGTCTAGAAATCTCCAGGATATTAAATGGGCGGTAGGATATCAAAATTCCATCTGGAGCACGAACTACCAACAAAAAATGAATACCACAATATGAGTAAAAGTCCTGACTTTTGGTTTTCCGTGGATTTCTACTTATGCAAATACCAAACATGCTGGCAGTGCATCTTGTATAGAAATGTTATATGGGGGGATTTGATCTACCATCCTTGTTATAAAATAATATTATTATTTTTGATGGACAGAGCACCAAAGGTTAGCCTTTGCGGTCCTTTTGTAAAAGAAACTGCAGAAATATAGCTAGTAAAGTGACGTAATTATTAAAGCTAATATTTGTTCTGTATAAGGTCGTCACCGTTATTATTCATTGCTTAATCTCATGTTTATTGTTTTTTGAATTCTCACAGATGACGATTCTGCTACGCATGGATGACAAAATGAACCGGCAACTCACGTGCGCAGTGTCCCGTCGTGACTCTGCTCAAGCGCTTGCGCATGAACTCGTGCAGTTGGGCTTCATACACGAGGCTAGTTTATTCATTAATAAGATATACTCAGAACAATAATATTGACTGTATAATATCTCAATACCGAAAGATTTTGTATACCAAAAAAGCCACAATTAATTTTGCCTTGCAATTTTTCCATAACACAATTTTATTCCACATTGCAGGCTGATCGCGACAAGATATGCCGCCTCATGGAGGAATCGTTCCGCAGCAGCTTCGGCACTCCACCCCCCGCGCCCTCCAGCTGCGCCCCCCCAGCGGCGTCCGCGCACCGTGCGCCGCAGCACGTCGCCAGCTAGTGACGCCCGCCCTCCGACCTCCGCCTCCGCTTCGTCCCCCCGCTACACTGCTGTCCGCTCCTACTCTTCCTCTAGTCTCCGTAGTGCTCGAGTCAAATGATAGCCTTTATAAACGCGGACACTAGGCTTATTTTAGAATGTCAATTATTCGTAAATTGGTTTATAGGCTATTTGATAGCGTTTATTATACCGAAATTTTAGTAGATTTGACGCACTCGTTGGAGTAATCGTGGGTTCGACTTCCCACTGGATATTTAATGGGTGGTCACGAACCACCTTCCACAGATGAAAAAGCCGTGACGTTTCGGATTCAATCTCGATTTCCGAAAATTCAAATCCTAAATAGGACGACAGCGCATCTTGTGTAGATTCTGTAAGCGTTTCCCATACCATAAGCGAACCCCATGTTCGTCTGTCCATCATTAAAAAATACTACGATTAAGATATTTAATGGATTTGCGTTTATAAGGTTACAGACTTTTATATTTTATTTTCATAGGAATGTTGTCGAATAGCCTATAATGTTAGACGAAGACCATTGATTATTTCTAATATATTATCCCTGCTAGTAAGAGTTGTAGTACAAACTCCTCTAATATTTTAGTGTATCAGGGATGCTTGAGGCGGGAGATCTATCCATCGGTATTTCGTTTAAGTCAACGTTTAAAGTAAGCATTTATCGTCGATTTTTATAGAAACAACGGAACCGTGAGGGCTCTTAAAATTAGTATAACGCTTGTAAATGTTAGGTTTAAACGGTGTTAAGTCAGTATCCATTTTGCGAACGAACATGTATCGAGGATTGTGCTTTCAATTATATGTAAACGTTTATTCATGAAATTTAATTGAAATCAATTTAACAGTTTAGTATGTGATTTATTTGTCAGTCAAAAATTTTTTTATAAAACCCTTGTGTAAACTTCAAAAATCAATAGTTATGAAAAGCTCCATCTATTGGAGACAAAAGAGTTTGTTTCCACAATACTTTTTCTCCGTTCAGAAACTCACAGAATACGAATATGTATATAATTGAAAACATAGAATACACGTCACAACGTTTGATCACCTTAACCGCGAATGTATGGTCAGTGCAATAAACGGTTTGTGAACCGGCACGTTTTGCTAGTCGAATGAATCTGAGCCACAATGGCGAATGTTTGATTACTTACGCTTTCGTATGGCATAAGAAATAGTATAGTTGTCGAAACGGCCGGGAACCGGTTCGTAATAACCGGTTTAATACACCGTATTGTAGCAACCGGTTACCGAGCCTTCGATATGCGAATAGAAAGAAATCAATCTAGACGGAGAGAGACGATACCTCCGTCTCACTCGCACTCACGACAAAGAGTATATTCATGTTTCGAGTTAGTATATAGATATGAATGTGTATATTAGATATTTAAACTATAACTTGTGTATGGTGAGGCTTCCTCTAGAGCTATATGTATACGGATTACGGAGTAATGGACATACTCATAGTTACGTCACCGCACCCGCTGATCACCTCGCAAAAGTATTACATCCACAGAATACAGAACGAAACAGAAGGACTCCGATTGTAATCGTATGAAGGGAACTAAGGCCAAGACTACTAGCCTTTGGGGTAATTACGATGCTAAAAATACTATGTTTCCGCGCGCAACTTTGCATAAAAAACATTAAGGCACTGACTGCAATTTTAAACACGTCGTTTTGTTGTTTCATTATTCTATATCTTATGTAATTCATCCTGTTATGCACTTTCAAGCAATTTGTTCAAGTTTGACAGCTCTCGATAAACATGTTTCCCTTTTTTGCTTCAAATTAATTATCGTTAATGTTTCTGACAAGATAATTGGGGTTGTGCCACTCCAATAAGTTTACGTGCTGATTTCCTTCCATTTCTAATCCTTCACAAATTTCGTCCTTATTATATTCGCATTAAGGAAATGATAAGAATTACCCAAGTATTTACATTTCAATCGAATCTACCATAAATATATGAACGCGTGAACTGGTTTTGTCCGGTTTTACTGTGCTGTTAGATTTTTAAAATGGAATACCGTTCCTTGCCATTTAAGACGGATTATTTACTAAATTATATTTTGAAATCGTAAAATCTACAATTAATCAATTGCTTGATAGATTACAATACAACGGTGTTAAATCTGTAGACAGTTTTGTCTGACATTCTCAGACAAAAGTCATTTCTGAAGCGATGTGATCTTTGTTCATCTCTATATTTAAATTCCTTTCATCAAATTCATCATCTCAATATAGATTTATAAAATGAAGTTATCAGACGGGTGTGTGATCATCTAGTTGTAGTGCAAACGAAAGACTGGCTAATGTTACGTAAGGTTTTGGTCGGGCTCCCTTCACTGCGTCTCCCAAAAGACGAGTGAAGCGACGCCGGGAGGCAGGCATAGCTAGAGAAGTGGCGAGCCCTTGTACATATTCGCTTTTAGTGTAAATGTATTATAAATGAATATTTTACCTGTTCAAAGGCAAATATAGTCTGCAGCGACTTTGTTATAGGGAAATTTAAAGTCGGGGGTCGAGCAGGGAGGTGTATCGCGTCACTCACTTTATATTATATAGTATGACTGACATTGTCTTTATAAGGAGTGGTATTAAGATTCGTGGATTCTATTAATGTCTCGAATCATGTTTTTTTGGTAAAAAAGGGCAGTTTTATCTCAACGGTCTTTTATTGTAAAATATAAAATACATTGTAACAACAGGAAATGATTCACAATGGCATTTTTATGTAATGAAATAATGTTAAAATTGAAATTACCGATTTTAAATGAAACAATCAGTCTAAATATTATTTTCCTATATTTATTTTAACTTGTTAAAACCGGCAATTACATACAACGTTAAACAATATAATTGGGGTAATTTTTAACATAAATAAATAATACTATGTGTAGTTTACGCGAGTAGTACACATCTAACGGCTTAGAACGCGATATATATTAGTTAAACTTATTTGAAAACTATTTTTGACTTCGGCCCCCCGTGACCACGGCTGCTGCAAAGCATCCAAAATGTCGGACCGAAAGTGAAAATAATTTTCAAATTAGAATAACATATCTATTTATCATATCGCGTTTTAAACCGTTATAGTGTTTTATTTAAATAAATAATGAGTGACGCGACGTACACTTGGCGGAGGCTTACCTTTCGTTTGTGACGTAGGTGAGTTATTAGATCAATAAATCTAGACTGCTAATTAGCATTCGGAATGGACAAATCTATACTATTACATTACATATAGACACTACGGTGCATTCGCGACCCGGCAAAATTTCTAAGTTCTAACAGCAACAACAGTATTGCCGTCTCTTTTTCGACCGACGGTTGTTAGGTGGAAAATTTTTAGACAATTCGGGATCAGTTTAATGCAATGTTCCGTGCCGCGGCAAATGTAGGCTGTAAGTGCCCCGCTTTAAACGAAGCTGTTATATGGTTCCTTTATCACAACTGTTTACTACTTTTTATATAACGTGTTGACTGCATTCGTTCTTTGTTTTATGAACACATGATTCGCCGATGTAAATAAATGTCGTGTTCCGTTGTTTTACCCAAAGAGATATGTGTTCATATGAAATTCGTTTTCTTTTTATTTAATTTCTTCCTCTAATTTGTAATATAAGTATTTATTGGACCCAGATTTGCATTTGCACTATTTTAGTTAAGGTCGTTGAATATAGAAGTACCCATTATATTATGATACTATATTATGTTATATAATGCTCAAAGTGATGCCTAACCGGTACTGGACGAATGTTTGCATACTATTCTCAAATAAAATGTCAACAAAATAGTATTTTAAAACTTAATGCGTGTTTTATTTTTCATATACTGATAAGACAACCTGCTATTTTACAGTTCAAGACTACTTTGTCTCGTTGGTCTGGCAGTGCATCTGCATTTGAAAGTCCAACACAAGGTCCTTGGGGAAAAAAAATACTGAACTATATATTATATTCCGTTCCTAATAAATTTCTAGAATACGTAAACAAAGGGGTCGTGTCTCTATCTATTTGGCATATTGATGTTCATAGCAATTAATATGACATAAAAGCCGCCATTTTTAGAAAGCATTAAAAAGTTTAGTTGAAATTTCCAGCACTTCGTCTGTATTTTTTTATAAAATCTCTCATCGGATAACTTTTTATTGTTATTCGAATGATAACGGCAATTATTTGTATGTTAGCTAACAGCTGATGTATTCAAGAAATGTGTAGGTTAATAGTGGCAGCAGGTGAATCTATACTAATATTATAAATGCAAAAATAACTCTGTCTGTCCGGCTTTTTTGTACACAGATATTTTAGAGCCTTAGAAAGGACATAGGCTACTTTTTAATGCCAAAAAAGAGTTGATAGAGGGTGAAAAAGGGGATGAAAGTTTGTATGGAAATTCGTGGTTTTTAAAGCTAAAACAATGAAATTCTTTGGCTTTTTGGGAATAGGAGTGGGCGTGGGAATCAGAGTAGGATTGATGTGAGGTAAAAATGTTGCGGCAAAGTAGCACTTACAACATAGATTGGCTGCCTTAAATGCGCCATTACATAAATTAATAAAAAGCCTAAATAATTAAAAACTCCACCCCAAATCACAATTCGATAAAAAAACAAATCCATTAAATTATTAAAAATCGATACAATAGACATTGTATCGATTTTTAATATAAAATAAAAACCCAGAATGTACAATTAATTTATTCATATCACAAGATCTCAAGCACAACCATTATTAGTTATTTCTAATATACCAGTAATCGTTGCAATCGGCATAATTTAAATTAACGCACCTGCGCACGCGCCTGCATATCTAATTACTTATAATTTGTGATGAAAGTTTATATTTTCCATTCAATGTATTATTAGTAATTAAATATTAAACTATAAAAGATAAATTTGTCTCATAACTAAATATATTTAACATATATATTCTTGATTACATTTAGTATTGATGATCAAAAAAATATCCGAAGCAACTCTTCTATAATAAACAGGTGTTCATTGTATTTTTACTTTTCATAATACAGGTTCATACTCGAATTGGTATTAATAGTTCCGCTTGACTGGCGGCATCGACCCGCCGTTACCACACTAGCGATCTGCCGCAATTAACTTAAAATTAGAAGTGAGAACGTCAGTCTAATTATAACCGGTATCGATAAGGCTGTGACGCCGCTTTGGGGTCCACCTCCTCTTTTTCCTCTTGTTCCGGTACGTAGTAGTGTAGCTCATAGGCCGGCGATAACTCCACAGTGGAATTGTTGTCGCAATCGCCCGAAGGTCGCGTCAGCATTCTGCTCAAATACGCCCTCGAAGACGCAACTTCCTTACCTTCTCCATGACTCCCGTGGATGATGCTGTTGTTGTACAGCAACGGAAGATCAGATTTAAACCTTTCGCTGTTCTGATTAAAATTATGGACAAATCTCTGAAGAACGTCTTTTCGGAAATCCGTTTCCTCGTCGTAATTCTCGACCTCCGCCTGAGCCTTGAATTTTTGGTTTATCATGACTTCACTCTTTGTCACGCCTTGGCGAGGTCCTTCTGTGTAGGGGGGGTCGTATTCTACGTTCTTATCCTCCTCTTGGTCCCTCGCGACCGCGCTTAAGAAGTCCCGGTAATGTTTTATGACGTCAGCCGCCCTGTTGTAGCTGCCGTCGTCCGTTACTACGGTGTATTCGTCCCTTTCGCCGGGCGAGACCGGAGCTTGCGTCATATAGGCGTCTTTTTCGTACTGCATTGCTCTGGTGGTCAATGGCTCGACTGGACTTCTAAAGTGCGGAGTGAACATGTGTGTATCGCTCATTTTTGGCAAAGATGTTGTATGCTTCGTATAGGAAACCGGCAATACGTTGGTCGGGGGCTCAGTGTCCGTGTAAACGCCCATCTTTTTTTGGAAACCATTGTCGTAATCTTTGAACATGCCTTTTTGTGTCGTTAGCGGTGGGAAATATTGAAGTGTAGGCTTTCTATCATAGTCGGGGTGCTTTTCATATCTCACGTTTGTCACCGGCCAGCTGGGGGGGACGTAACCGTTACTCTTTCCGGGCACAGTGAATTTTTTGAGATCTATCTTAGCTAGCGTTAGATAATCGGCGTCATCTTCATCGGACGTGTCATAGTATTCGGCTACGTTAAAAACCTTTTTTGGCTTTGGCTTTTCCGTTGATTTTGAAACGCTTGGTTGTTCTGGTTTAGTGACAGTTTCGAGTGTACTGGTATATACCGAAGGAGGCTGTGCCGTCGTCGTTGATGTAGGTGGTATGATAGCAGGTACTGTAGAGGATGGAATATCTTTTGAGTATTCCGTTTCTTTCGAGTTAATTTCATCGTAATCATTGTAGATAACGTTTCCATAGGCGTCTGTCTTCTTTTTCTTATTTTTTCTAATTTCGGCAATTTTTTCTAATCTCTCTCTCAAATCGGGCGTTTCGTTTTTATTTTGTTTTTCAATCAAATTATTCCATTCCGTCTCGGTCTTATTCTTTAAGACTTGAGTGAAAGGCTTAGAAGAGTTCTTAGGTTTGAATACGATTCCAAGTGAGCTGAGACTCTCATTTCGCCAACTGTTATCATCTGGGTCCCTAACGAAAATCTTAGGAGGCTGTACCTCAATTTTCTTTGGCGCTTTGTAATTAGCTCCAACCGGATACAGAATGGTCGTTTTCAACTTGTCGAGGAAACTTAAGGGCTTGACGCTTAACTTTTCATCATTCAACGTAGTGTTTTCTTTGTCGTCGAGTTTCTTATTAACTTCGTATATTTTTACTGGAATGATAGATTGCGTTGTAGTTTTTATTTCTTTATATCGTTCAAAGTTCTCTTCATAGTTATTAATCACTTCTTCCTTTAAAAGTTCTTCTTTTCTGGCGTCTTCATGCTGCAAATTACAAATAAATGTCAGTATCTATTTGAATAAAGTAATAGCTTAAAAGTCAATAGCATATTTTTTAGGACAAAAGTATTTTTTTTGTTTTAGTGTTTGGAAATTACAATGTTTTTAGAGAATAAACCAAGCCAAACTGTTTTGCTAAGTTCAAGGAGCTGATAGCAAAATATATTCTGCCATTATGACCACAACATGCCGTGATGTCAACAGCTATTGTAATACTTACCATTTGTACGACTGCTTCAGTTTGCTTTACTTTATTATTGTTAATGCTGCTGTAGTTTTTATCGTCGAATGTTCCGATATTTTCATTAGAATTTTCCACTGTTGTACTCTCGAGTTGTTGGTACATACCCTCGTGTGATCTATATTGTTCGTCACTCTTTTCTACAGACGGGTAATACTTTTCACTTTTATTTTTCGGACTTGGTAAGGTTATTAGGAGATTAGGGATTTTGTATGGACCATAGGGCTCCGAGATGGAAGGTGTAGTATCCAAGATATCGGGTGGATAACCAGCCGTTACACTGTTCTGCATTTCTAATAGCTTCGGCTCGATCGTCGTAGTTTCAAAGTGATCAGCAGATGGAGGCGGTTCGCTTTCTTCTTCCTCATCAATTGTAGATAAATATTGTTTTATATATTCTATGTTAAGAGGTTTTTGAGAGTTCTGATCATTTGGAATACTCCCGGTTTCTCCAGTTTGCGTTTTTTGCTCAGTATTGTTTGGAAATTCTTGTAATTTAGTTGTTTTATTATCAGTATCAAAATCATTAAAGGGTTCGTTATTAACTTCTTGTTTTAGATTAAGTTGTGAGTTGGATTCCTGTTCTTTAATTACTTTAGTCTCTGTGAATGTTTTTGCATGTTCCTGATAACCAGAAATTGTCTCAATGTTATCATTTTTGGAGATATATTCTTTTGATTTATTGTTACGCTCACCATCTAAGTTCAGTGGCTCTTCTTTTTCTTTTTTATCAAAAATTTTTAAATTATATTTTTCGTTTCTTTTTATTTCTCTGTCGTCACTTTTCTCTTTTCTTTGCTTGTTATTTTCGTTTTTGTAGGTCTCCTTATCGCTTTTGTTTCTTTCTTTGCTATTTTCCCTATTATTTTGATACAAAGATGATTTGTCATTGTCTTCTTTTAGCTTATTTCCATCGCTTCTTGTTTTACTATCTTTCGAATATGGACTAGTTGTCACTGTAGACTCTGTTTTCCATATACCTATATCGGTTGTCGATTTCGTATATGCTGTTCGATCACTTTCTTCTTTTTGTTTTGACCTATCGTTTACTCGCGTGAATTCGAATTGCTCTTTTACATTATTATTTACGTTTTCCACACGTGGTTGCTTAACTTCTTTGCTCTCCGCTTTATCTTTATTTCCACTACTGATTTTGGATTCATCAATTCTATCAACCTTCGTTCCCACTTCGTCAATTTGCTTCATTTCTCTACTTATATCTGTCACAGCTTGTGAACTTAATCTCTCTGTTTCTTCTCGTGAATCTACTTCTTTAGAATTTTCCTTACTTTCTTTCGTGTTGTTGTTGTCCTTCTTTCGATCCTTATTTCTCAAGCGAAATCTTGATTTTTCTTTTTCTTTCTCTGCAGAGCTATCTTCTTTACCTCGGTACCTAGATCCAAAACGCCAACTCAATCTTCTGCCTTTCGGTTTCGATGTGGTGTTTTCTTGTGAGTTGTCTTTCTTGTCACTATTATCTTCAAAAAGGGACTTTAATGAGAAGTCTAGAAAACCACCACGTTTCGACTCTACTGCAGCAGGGGCACTTTTATCTGATGTAATTTTCAACGTAGAGTCTTCTTTATCACTTGTTACTTGTTCTGTTACCTCAGAACTCGTGGCCGTGTCATTCTGAACATCTGATTTAAAAAATGAAGACGGAAATAGAAAGTTCTTAATTTGATTTAATGATGGTATATCCGATTTAGATTCTTGACGAGGCAAACTCGTTTCATCAGTTTTCATTCTCTCTATTTCTGTTGTATTATCATTATCGTACAGTTCTTCACTTAACGATTTTCTATTAATAAGAGTATACTTTTTCCATGATGGTACTTGATTCGCTTCTGATGACGCTAGGTTATATGATATATGGGTATATTCGTTATACCTAGAAAAATTGCTTTCATCATTAATGGTTGATGCTCCATTATACACATCATTATTATCAGTTGTGTCGATGTTTTCCGGATTTATTTCCGGAAAGCTTTGCGATGCATCATTATCACTCGCGGTTACATCTCGGAATGATTCAACGTCTTTAGTATTTGTTTCAGTTGTGTGAAGGAAACCATTCTTAGTTATTTCTATATCATTGGGTCTAACTTCTAATTTAATACTTTCTTGACTGTCTAAATCAGCTAAGTCTGAACGATTTATTGTAAACGCGTGTGTGTCTATTAGGGACAACACAAAAATTACCCCTACAAGTAACCTGAAACAAATGAACAATTATTGTAAATAGACTGAAGAATGCAGTCGAATTGAATGTTAAACGTTAACACTGGCTTAGAGTTATGCAACAAGCGTTGTAAAGCGTGGTCGTGTGGTCTTAGCTGGTCACGCAAAGTTTTCACAAAAGGTCAAATACAGGATGGACGAAAATAGCAAACAGTTGCGATGAATAATGGCGTCGATGATTTTAGTATAGAATAGAAATGCGTTTATTCAGAAACTACACCAGATTTACAAAACTAATTTTAAAACATAACATAAGCATTAAAAATATAATAATATATTACTAAATACAGATAAAATACTTTATAACAGTTGCCTCTGAAAAGGAGTCCACTCAGCAACGTTGGGACAAATGTCCCAACACTGATATTCTGGGGCCCAATCGGAGGCCGCTTAACGCGAGATATTTTGACATTTACTCTCTTAAGGACGTTTATATGTATACAACATAATTACATTGAATAATATAGAAGATATATAATAAACAAATGTTTAACCATTATTGCCACCTTAAATCACTGTTAAAACGTCCTTCATAACATTGTCTTACGCTACAGGCAGGGCACAAAAATCTAATCACTTACTTTTCTGGGTAGGGGTAAAAAATCGTGATTCACAACACAAAAGCAAAAAAAAAAGAATTTCGCTATTGATAAATGATATTTTATCACTACAACATATTGTTTCACGTAAAGTCTTCGAACAATAGATCGATATTTTTAAACAAACCTACCATGCGCTGCCCATCGTCGACCGTGTTATATTAAACCGTTGTTATATTTTTTAGAGCTTAAGTTATGATTAATTAAACATTGTTTATTAAATAATGGATGCCGGAAACATAAGTTGCGTGTGATTTTCATTGAATTGAAGTTGCTTCATAAATAACAATTGTTCGTTTAAATAAAACACTCTAACGGTTTAAAACGCGATATATTAGTTATTTAGATCCGAACCGTCGGGCCTAAGTTAAAAATCATATTTCAAATAAGTTTAACTATTATATCGCGTTTTAAACCGTTAAAGTGTTTTATTTAAATGTGTACTACTCGCGTAAACTATACACAGTATTTAACATCTGCGTGTTTGTTTATTTTTCTTTCTAACTTTTCATGGTATCATCTATCTATGGTTCCAAAAGAACAAAATAAAATTTCTTAATTCAATATTATTAAGCTTAAATAAGCTAGAACTAATATTCAACCATTGCTTGGATCTAATAAATTAATTATGTTATGTACAATTGCTTGATTTGTTTCTTTTATTCATAAAAAGTTATATTTAATACATGTCATTTGAATTATGCCGTTACGAAAACTTTATGTTGTCTGTACTTTACGTGATCAGCAAAACATTTTATTAAATCACATTAAACGGTTTCAGACGCGAAAAGGATTGGTCCATATAACTATCACTTGACGTTTTGGGTGATTTGCATCAAGCGGGGATAGTAATTTACATATTTCGCGTTTAAATCGATAAGGGTGTTTTATGAAAAAAATACTTAATTGCTTACGATTTGCCTAATCTACCAACGATATGCTATTAGTACTAGCATATTTATTTATTGCATGATTAAAGTTAATAATCGAAAATTACTTAATAGCTAAGTACTTTATTATTATTTTAATAGGTTTAGGTAAACATCCGTTTTAAAGTCCTAATAAGGTAAATTCGATTTTCTAATTTTATTAGCATAAATATTAAATTGCTCACATTACCAAATTGTCTGTTGATTTCAAGTCAAAATATTAAATAATAAAAATATAATCGACGCTAAATAGCTGTAACGCACTAATTAGCTCACCTGAAAGTGTAACAGAATGACATCTTGAAGTTACGTCAGGTGCACATGATAGCACTGCACTTAACGTCTGCGCGGGCGCAACGATCGACACCGAATTACTGCGCCAATGCCTTATTGTTAACACACGATTATCAACGCAGTTCCTCCCATTGAGTAACTCCACTCATCCACTATCGGTATTCGACAAAACCTCGGACGTTCAGCATCGGTTTCCCTCCGAAATCTGCTGCCGGATTTTGGTCATAATTGCGCCACAAACAGGAATATAGGTATTAAATAACATCGACTAATGTAATTAACGATATTTTTATTGTTACGTTTCCTAACATCGAGAAGTTTGTATACTTTTTTAACGGAGAAATCGTAAATATGCTAATTTGATACATTGTTTTTAATGGTTAGTCCCCCAGTGACCATAGCTTTTATTAAAGCAACCGAAGTGTAGTTAAAATAAATGTCAAATAATGTAACTAAAATATTTCTCTAGTTTTAAACCGGTAAAATTGTTTTATTTCAATGTACTACTCGCGTAAACTACAGAGGATACATTTTAAAGATTACAAAACGAACACTAACATCATGCTACGACATAAATTTTAAGTAGTTACAAGTCAAGTCATATTTTGGGTTGAAAACTGACTTATTATGACTAATATTGTTAAAACATAATAAACTTTTAATACGTTTATGTAAATTTTAAAGCAATTTACTGAATATCGTATACTAAATTAAAATCAAGTCAAACTCCAGTATTTAAATTGCGCGCTTAAACGCTAATTTTGTGAAATAAGGCTGCAATATGGCTAGTGACGTCATGATCTTATATTGTGTATGTCGATTATAAGATTAAATCGAAGCACGATCGTTTATCGTTTCGATCAATCCGTTTTGTTTTGTGTGACTATTCCTAAACTTGTACTTAACTAGCGAACCGCTGTCTTCCCTCGGGTGCAAATCCGTTGCGTAGTTTTAAAGATATAAGCGCGCACAGCAAAAACGTCTTTGTTTTATACTATGTAGCGTATATTGACGCTATATTTTTCGCATTTCGCCCATGAAAATTGGAAATACTCAAAACCAAATTATAAAAATAAAAGGATCCATAAACGTTTTTGTTGATCGCTTACATTTTTGACATTATCTCTGGTTTGAGGCCACACTTTCACCAAACGCAAACTAAATTGACGTTTGACAGCAGTTCGAATTTGAATATTCCGTTACAGAGTGCAAACAGAAGAAGCTTGTGTTATGATACTTGTTTAAAATTATATATCATCAACAATGTCAGAATTTAAGACGCCCGTTAAAAAAGCTGTGTGCAATGGGAGCGACAAACAAGAAATATCTATTCCACCTTCGCCTTTCTTGAATCGCCTCGGTTATGGCACTGGTAAAGTAACAGATCTTTTATGAATTTCTTTGCATAAAAGTAATATATCTCCAATATTAATGCGTGTTCAGATTAAAAAAAAGATTATTAAAATTTCAGGAGTTTCCGTAATGCAACTACTTCGTTCCCCAAAAGCTGGTCAGTTAAGATCACCATGGGCCCTCAAGATGCTAAATAAACGTGTTAAACCGAATAAAGTTTACACTGAGAGGCTGCAAGTTGAAGCTGATCTTCTACAAAGAATGTCTCATCCTAATATTGTGGGCTTCAGAGCCTTTAGTAAGACAAAGATATTGTATTTAGGTATGGAAGCTTGTGACCTATCCTTAGGAGATATGATTGAGAAAAGAGTGGAAGAAGGATGTGATCCATTTCCTCCCAAGTCTATTTTAAAGGTATGTCTAATACGAAATAATTGTAGTTTATATAGAAGATAATAAGACATTTCATTATAATATAAATATATTTGTGAACAAATTTTACTGTTTGCCCAAAAGTTTTATAAAAAACTTAAATAAAATTAATTTAAAAAGGCACATGAAGTTTCTTATATTTTTATCTAGTAGTAGTAGTAGTAGTAGAATCTTTTTGTATCTATTCTATTTTACATTCTAGGTTGCAATGGACATAGGCAATGCCCTTGACTATCTTCACACGAAGATGAAAATTCTACATGGAGATATGAAATCATACAATATATTAGTAAATGGAGATTTTGTGATATGTAAGCTATGCGATTTTGGAGTGACCTTACCATTAGACGAAAATGGAGTTTTTGATAAAGACAATGCTGGGAAAGCTGTATATTATGGTTTGTATAAATGATTCAGGGATAGCTTTATGTAATATCTGTAATAATATTAATTAAAAAGATTTCTGTAACTTCTGAACTGTAGGTATTTTAGAAAGTAAATATTCAGGCATTCTTTTACAATGCTTAATAAACCTTAACCCTTAATGCAATTAGGATACACATACATATATGGTTCCAGAATTGTCACATTTAACAAAATTACAATATGGCCTGGAAGGTTCTTAAAATATATGTAATATATAATAATTTCACTATATTTGTTCAATTCTTTGTTAAATTACCTAAATAAATCTTATTTGTTTAAACTACAGACATGTGAATGACTTCTTATTATTTTTTTTGTCATCAACTAGTTTCTAAACCATCAAAGGTGTGGTAGAACTAAACAACTTGTATTATTTACTCTGTATGAAAAAATAACGTCGTTTTATTTGATGAGAATGAATTTTTATATTTATGAAGATTATTATTTGCAGGCACGGAAGCGTGGAGTGCTCCCGAAGTGTTACATGGTGGTACCATCACTAGTAAGACGGATATTTTCCCATTCGGTCTCACTTTGTGGGAGATGATGTCGTTGTTACCTCCTCACACTAACATCGATCAAGACTTTGACAAGACAATGGGCAGCTTTGATGACAGTTATGTTGATAATGGTTACGAGATGTATGGTAAGTTCAACATATGTTGTATGTCATCTAAGAGACTTTGTCTGTGTAAAATAGTTAATAAATATTACTGGTCATCTTTATAAATTATAGATACTACAATTATATCCTTGACGTTAGTCGCGGCCCGCCGTTCTGGACATTTCTTTAGATCATTTAAAGTAGAATAATTCTTTCATACATATTTTTGTGTATCTAGCTTACAGCCTTGATAAATGATGACTAAGATTTTTTTTAATTTGAACCAGTAGTTCATGACATTCGAACTCTAGCTTTATAATATTATTAATGGGGAACAAATTGGATTTTTCCCTGAAGCTTATTCTGTAATTATTCTTGTAGGTACTCGACCAGCACTTCCAGCGAATATAAACATATCAGAGTACAGTGATCCTATAGCCCTCTTTCAAGCATGCACAGAAACAGAACCAAATTCTCGGCCCACTGGATCTCATATAGCATCTGTAGCAGAAACAATGATGATTGCTGTGCAATGAAATTTTACTTCTTTTTTAAAGATAGGCCTTGACAGAGAATTATGTGCTTCACATGGAGGTGAAAATTCTCAATCCTATAGCTTTTTGTTACATACTCAATAATGTGCTGTTTATCTATTTTTACTCCAAACCCCAGACTTGACTGAAACACTTGGTCACTGATTGTTTATATATTAACCAGCAAGTGGTCAGATCCTCTGCCTGATTTAAAACAATTGTTTTTGCAAGTTTCAAACCCAGGACGTAGGTTTTTCCAGCTTTAAACATTTAATGCCCTGCTCGACGTCTCCCCAAATACATAATTTTAACAATTTATAGTAAATAAGTATATGAATAACTTTTCAAACAACTTATATTTACACAACATAAATAAAAATTCAACAGTCTTACCACCTATTTATGTAGGTAATACAATGAGATTATATCAAATGAGATGTACTTAAGCTATGTTTGAGCGTGACATTTAAATTTTTGTGAGATTCCATTACAACAGACTATGACTAGTTTTAAATATGCAATAAATATCTACTTTATATCATGAGAAAATATATTTAGTGATAATTGTGAGGTACACATTTAAGGCAAATGGATCTATTGTGATATGAATAAATATTTAAAAATGAAAATTAAGACATAATGTTTTACTAAAGCTGAATATTTAAAAGCCCAATATTACCTAGTGTTGCCCAAAGTTGTTTCATAAAGAAACAGTTGCCACATTTCGTTATGTAAGTACATACATATAATAAATATTTACATATTACAAATAAACTGGGCAGGATTTCTCTACTTTAGGAACCTTGGTATCCCTGTTCACTCATTTTATTAATGCCAAACAAATTACAAAATAACCGTAAAAATTTGAGACAGTTATAAAATTCTTTACCCCGGTACACAATAACATAGACTACAATGAATTTGATACAAAGCTAATTGCATAAAATTTTAAAACTTATGCGTAGGATCTAAATAAAAATATGATAATGAGACTTTAAACAGAAAAGTTGGACATAAAAAAGATTAAAATGTTCTAAAACAAAAAATTTAATATCGCTCCAGTCAATATGACCACTTGAGAGACCATATTATAATATATTTCTATACAATTCATGACTTAAAAGGAATTGACTCCTTGAAAACTCAAAGCAAATTTGCCAATGTATGAAAGAAACGTAACGACAGTAAGTTTTAGATTTACAGTAAAAACCCGCAGACATATGTCCGGCATACTGAAGTTTTGTTTCGTCTGAGAGTGTATCACTGGGTAGATATCCTTTGTTGACTTAAATCTATCAGAGGATTTTCAACCTCCATCTCAATCATATAAGCTCTTATGTGTTTAGGTGATTGGCTATTTGACTTTTCTGTCCCACCTTGTAAATTTTTTTTTTATTAGAAGAGTGACTTGATGGTCGATGAAATACTCCAGCCACATAGTATCTAAAGTGCTAAGCGCTGTCGACTTATTTGGGCTTTGGACATTTCAGTGACTGAAACCAAAATACTGTGTAAATGTTTGTCTTGTTCATGACAATATCCAATATCCCGATTTTCCACATGTCAAAAAATATATTTTAATATAATACATAATATAACATAAATACATGTTCAAAAAAATACATTGGAAATAGTTGGACTCGGTGGAGATAAATTCATGCCCCTTGATTATTAGCTACACATTGCTACCATTAGTTCAAAGAGCCCAACTAAAAAACCGGGATTTTTTAAATACCTGTCAAAAACAATCAAATAGCCAATTACATTAAAATGACTTTCAGATCTTATAAGCTCTTGTCACACATTAATCAAGTGTGCGACGAGAGGTAGGCGACGATGTCCTTTTTGCCGGCGTGTGCTGCCACCTGGAGGGCGTTGAGGCCTTGCGAGTTGCGCAGTGACAGGTTGCTTCGGCGCGCGAGCAGGCGCACGCACGACAATTGACCGAACATGGCCGCGCCGTGGAGGGCGCTCTGGCCGTTCTGTACAAACATAAATACTTTTAGATTATTTTAACAATGGGCTATTTGATAACGCGATAAAATAAAATAAATCAATTACTGTTATCAGTATTAAGTATAGAAATAGTAAACAGTCACATATTTAAAAAATTAATAATTGAATAAAAATCCGCAAATAGAAATTAACTTTTTTAAACATTTATCACTCGGTCGGGTCAGACGACGTCACTTGCTTGCTCGCCAAGTGCTATAAATCTCCATGTTTTTAACTGGTAAAATATGTTCTTTTATCTGCATAAATAAATTAATCTCATTTTATTACTTCTACAAGAGGTTAGGACATGCTTTAAATGTAGAGAAAAAAAAAACCCACATCCACATGGCCAAACGTTAGGTCGTGACGTCATTAGCCGTATTGCGGCGTTATTTTACAAAATTAGCGTTTAGGCGTTTTATTTCAGCAAATATGTACCAGAATTCAAAATACAATTTTTTGGGAGATATAAAGATACCACATAATACATTAAAAAAATCCGTATAATCAAATAACCCATTATAATTAAATTCACCTTTGTTTTGTATATTAATATGTTAATTTATTACTTATGGAATTTAACGTAATTTGTCGTTTATTAATTTATTCCTTCTAGTCATAATTTACTAACCGGTAGTAAGCCCAGGTTAGGGTTATACTTCAAGAGTTCTTGAACAACAGTCGCGTGACCCTTGTGCGCCGCTTTGAATAGAGGGGTCGCACCGTCCTGTAAAATGTACATGGTATAGATTTTGTCTTATAAGTAGTAGCAATTTATTGGTAACAATCAACGGGTTGCGGGTCGATGTCCAATGGGTCCAGCATGTTTCTAATTAACAAAAAATACTGTCTATAGTTTTCGCGAGTAGTACACATTTAAATAAAACACTTTAACGTTTGTTAGTAGTTAGTCAGCCCTGGTCTCCCCGTGACCATGGCTGCTGCAAAGCATCCGAAACATCGGGCCGAAGTTTAAAATCATTTTCAAATAAGTTTAACTAATATATCGCGTTTTAAACCGTTAAAGTGTTTTATTTAAATAACAAAAAATTGTTGGACGTTAGACTATGTGTGGAAAATCTGAATATTAAATAGGCGAGTGTAGAAATTTCGGTCTTGTCTGTAGAGTTGAATTGAGTCGATAGCGCATTAGGGTGTTACATGGCTAAGGTTTCACCTTCCATCAAGAATTTCTGCCCAATGCTTGTCTGTCGTCCTTTGTCATAAAAACTTAAGCTATATGGCTACCCCCCGACTTCGCCTGGAAGAGATAAAGAATGACACCGACCTGCCGATGCATGTCGACTCTTGCGCCGGCTGCTAGTAGCGCCCTGGCGACCCTTTGGTGTCCGCACTGTGCCGCAATCCAAAGAGGCGTGGCCCTGTCGAGTCTCGCCATGTCCACTCCGGCGCCATTCGCTAGAAGACACAGGCACACTTCCTCGTGACCATTCTGCGCGGCTATAAACAGGGGGGTCGCCTTGTCCTGCAGAACATTAATTCATTATTTTTTGAGTCTAAAGAACTAATCATAATATATATAGTAGTCCACATCTGTTTAAAGATTATTGAAAAGCTCTATTTATACCTTCATGCAGGAGTTGACGTTAGCCCCTCGCTGTATCAGCTCCTCAACAACCGGTAGATGTCCGCACTGGCACGCCACGAAGAGTGGGGTACCGCCGTCCTGAAATTAGGACATTTATATGAACTCGTGTGTTTTAGATTACGTAATATTTTTTATCATTAAACATTTCAAGTTACAAGTTGCGTTTGTGTACATGTTATATGTATATGAAACTAGCGTATTCGCCGCTAGATGTCACTAAACACAATTTTTACGGTAGGCCTAAAAAGAAGTTAAGCGTGAATTATCTTCATTATAATGAATTTAAGAGGCATTTTAAAGTAGCCTCTTAACGATTTAGAATATATATTATTATTATTCAACTTCTTTATTTATTTTAACTATGACCTGACGTTTCGGATTATTTGTAGCAACTTTGGTCTCGAGGAACCCTCGTTACTACGTTCTAAATCGTATAAAATGTTTTGTTTATTAATTATTATTAATAAAACTGTAGACAACTTCGTTAATTTCCATTTTAGTAAGATTGAGCTAAATGCTGAACAATTACCGTTGATGGTGCGTCAATCGCTGCCCCGGCGTCTAGAAGCAGTCTGGCAATGTCAAGGAATCCTCCTTGAGCAGCGAAGAATAACGCCGTCGTTCCTGTCTGACAACGAATGCCTCTTAACTAAACTATTTCGCAACAAAAGAGAGAAAATAAAATCCCTTAATCATCCGCGACAGCATATAATTATTTCTATTTTAAGGCTGGCGCCCGTTATAAGCTAAGCTGCCTTGCGTGTGATGTCAAACCTTATTTAGTAAATTTCTGTTCAAATAACAGGAGCACTGCTGAGGGCAGAATTAGTACATAATTTTGGAGAGATACGAGTAATTTTAAAGAGTGTACATTAGAACTACCCTCATATCAGCAAAGTTCATAACCATAGAGTATTTAGGGGAAAAAATGAATATAATCGTTCCATTGTTTAACAAAAATACCAGAAACAAAGGAGTATTATGCTAGGGGGAGTGAGCTCGTTCACCTAGAACAGGGCTGAATGGCGCCCTGTAGCTCTATTCATACCGAGATCGAGTGCTAAGTGGGTCGCTTGTGCTAATGTGAGCATAAGAGGATACAGTTTTCCATCTACATATAATTTTCATATGACAAAAAATGTATAATTTTCAAAAGCCATACGATGTAATATCATAACTTGGACTAAAACCAAACCTAATTCCGCTAAAATGTTAAAAATTCTACAAATAACAAATTATGCGAAAATTAAAATAACGGTAGATAAACTGTAAGAAATGGCAGTATGCATCATTGTTATTGGCGTGTCTTTGCGCACAAGCCGCCAAGGGATTATTACCTAAGTGAGTACACCACTTTGTTCTACATTCTACTTTTATCAAGAATTCTGACGTAACATACCGTCCTGCAACAGGCTGGGTCGGCTCCCTGCGCCAATAGCTCTTGAACGCACTCGGTATGCCCCATCGCAGCTGAGAGGATCAGTGGAGTGGTACCATCCTGGAATTTAAAAATATAATTATAATAATAAATAGTTTAAGAATTTTTGGTATTGGTTGTACCTACAGTATTAACTTGACTGCACTACCTCGCTTACCAACTATAGAGATGTAAGTGTCGACTGCCGAGAAGTTGGGAATTAAAAAAAAATATTCCTTTTTTAAATAATGAGTATCTCTCAAATAGCGTTGTTATTATATTTACATCATGATTACATACATAGTCATGATTATTTTGGAAGATTTTATTTTGCGAATCTTGTGACATTCTGATACGAGTCGGATTTGTGAGCTATTGTTTTATTGCCCGCTGTCGTTTTTTTATTTGTATAAATATAAATCTACGCGTTCAGCAAAACAACCATCAGAATTTAATCAAAATGCAATAAACATTCGCTCCACTCCAGTGCCCGCGAACTCTGATAACGTGTTTGTATGTTAATGGCCATCTCTGTTGCGTGACCGCTTTTTCTGGATCCTAGGAACTAACCACAGGATGGAGGGTAAAGTACACAACCACAAAAGTCTATAACACAAGTAAGAGTGCCTCCTGGTTTGAAAGAGAAGAATCGTGATACTCAACTAATAAATCTAAAATTTAGGTCAATGTGCGGTTTTTGTTGGAGATTTTTATTAGGGGAGGATTAACAAGCACGAGGTGATAGATATCACTATCGACCTATTTTTGTAACTGAATAGCATTAACTTCTGAACGCAAATTCATAACTTTTAATAAATTTATTACAGATTACACCACATCTCTATAGATGTGGTGTAACACAATCTATATTGTGACTAAATTAAGATAAATATGATTGAATGTTAATTTTTTGTAAAAAACCTAGTCGAACGGACTCTAAAAGTAACAAGAGACGGGAAGTTATTTGCGCTAATAAGTTACTAATTAGTGAAAAAAACACGCAATATTATTGTATGTTTCGAACAAAAATATTGGAACTACTAGGTATTATGCAAAACAATCTGAAGACGATAAACATAAATTCGTCACGCACGAAGCTCCAAGGTTGTACCACAGTTTATATACCAAACGCGATTAAATATCGAAAATAAAGTGAAAAAAAATTGAACTCCTAGAGCAAAAGCTGATAATTAAAGGGGGCCTTAATTATGATTGCTGGTGGTGGGGGGAGAAAGCCAATTCATTTTAGATTTTCTTATCAATGCTCTAATGTTTTCAATGCAAAACATCAAACATGATTACTTTGTCTTACATAACAACTAGGAATTACCTAATATAAACATGTATTTGTATTGTATGTATTTCTTTATAACATTAAATTATTCTACTGTTATAAATATACCAACTAGAGCATACATAATAAATAAATTGAAAAAGGCATAAATTAAACCGACTAACTAAATGATTCACTAAAGTAAACTGTGGTGTACGTAAAAAAATCAATTAATCATCTCGTGGGCCTTTCTCTTTATGCGACGACGGAATAAACGCCCGTAACATTTGATGTTTCGGTCTTTACGATCGATTTTATGTCTTCATGGCCTCACTGTTCTTAACTTTTTCTGTATTCAACTTAAGGCACACATAGCCAGTGTAAAAGAAATACTGTAATGGCCCTTCTCCATTTCGGTTGGACGGTTATAAGTTGACGGGCTCGTTGGTGTAGAGATAACAACGGGTCGTGGATTCGATTCCCACCGGGTCCGACATTTTTTTAATCAACTTAATTTTTTTCTAAAACATTGGACTTCGTTTTAAAATCTATATTAAATCAGTAGGATTATCGAAATTTCGTCAAGGTCACGGAACCACGGTCCACGGATGAAAAAGCCGTTAAAGTTTAATCGCGTTTCGGTTTCAGACTGTGCATTTCCCAATGGCCAAAATAGGTCGACATCTTGTTTAGATGTTATATGGCTGAGATAATTCACCTACCATCAAGTGGGGTCTACTAGGTGAATTATCTTAGCCATATTGTCTGTCCTCCTCTATCATAAAAAGTCATTTTTAACGGTTTAAAATGCGAAATACATTAGTAATTTTTATACGAAGTTTTAAACTGTTAAATTTATTGAATGTTCATAAGCTTTTGTTTTATTCTGTTCCCAAACGAGTCGAGAATTCAGATATGCACACAATGCGCTACAGCAAGCAATTTCATGAAAATCTCATGAGCTCACGTTGAGGGAAACGGAGATATATCGCCTTCTCATGGTAACTGAGAAACAAATACTGTGATGTGTTGTGTTATGAGAATGTGAGATTATTTATTAACAATTTTTTTTTTTGTTGCAAATATTATATTTTCTCACGGATCGAGAAAGGACGCTGTATGCATAAGATTTATATAAATATATTTAAAATACATATGAAAATATTTTGTGATAGAAATTGCCCTTTTTTTAATGACAAATATTGAAATAATAAAAAAAAAACGTTTTTCGCATATTGACAAGTTAGTTATTGAAATGCACGTCTTTCTGTTTGATTTTTATAGAAGAAATATTTTGTCAATATTTCAAGTATACCAATGCATACATGTTACGATGTATTAGCATCGCGCTAAAAGTTTGTCTTTAGTAACATAATATTTGAAAATATCAAGCGTTCTTGAGGTGTAGTCACTTACTTTAGGAAATTCTTTATAGGATGCCGTTTTAATCCTTACCTTAAACACTTGAATTTTATAAAGTCATATATTTACAATACTAGTAGGAAAAAACTGTAAAAGCACACTAACACTTAAAGCAAAGATCGTTAACCTAGAAGCGGTGATGTTAATGTAAACGCATTTTCGCGGTATTTTTACTCGCACTTAAACGAACAGCGAGATCGGGAATGTATTTATTAATTTTACGATTCTGCATTAATTTATAACTTCCGCTAAAAGCAGTGTTGCAAATTGCGGAATATACCTTCGGAAAAATGTGATGAAAGAAGGTATGTGCTGAAAAGTACCTATTTTTTTATTAACAGCTTTAAATATTAATGTAATTAATTCATCATATCTTTTGATCATTTATTGGGAAATTAGTATAAAAAAATACTTTTTAACCGATTCTTTTTAGTACGATATTTAAATAATTCTCAGTCGTTGTATGTTCCCCTCTAATGGATCTCTTAATGGATCGGGTCAATTCCTAATAAAGTGTTGGATATGGCGTAATTTAAACCTAGAAAAAGATAACAATGATCTGACACAATTAACTCGTGTTTAATTTGAAAAGAAAGATCTTAGGATATTATGTCTATGTAAACTAATATTATAAAGCCGAAGGGTTTGTTTGAACGCTTATCGCGTTGGTTGGACGCCTATTGGTCGCAGTCTGATGTTTTTTAGCCTAAAGCCTTCCACGGTAAATGGACCAACCAACACCAAATAAAATTTTTCAATTCGAACCAGTAGCTCCTAAGATGAGCATGTTCAAACAAGCTAACTACAAACAACTCTTCAGGTTTATAATTTAAGTATAGATAGGAATGCTATAGAGTAATTTATCGTCGGGTTTCATAAACTTATTGCATACGAGCACTGGCTTTTACACCATCGGTAGATTATAAATATAAAAATAGCAACTATTTAACTTTTCTATGTACATGTCGCCGCGACCGGGGGTTATATAATGCCAACGACACGTGAATTGATTCGCGTTACTCATTTCGCAAACGCCTAATTAATTCCGCAGGTGTTAATCAATACGACGACTTTCGAATTTCGAAAATATAATATCGATTTCATTTTTAGCCCTCGAAGACAAGTCTAATACTTTGATTAGATCCGTGGGTAGACAGACAAAAATATTTATTCTATTCAATTATTGACCTCTTTAATTTCTATTCGATAGCTGTGCCCGCGACTTCGTCTGCGTAGAATATATATTTTAGGCATCATATTATTGCATATTATTATTGTTTGTTTTTGCAAACAACTTCCTTAGCTTTATAAATTACATATAGCTTTTACCTACTTACTACTGGCCCGGACATTTTTTTTAGATCATTTAAAGAAGAATTAATCTTTTATAAACACTTCTTGGTTTCTTTAATCGTTTTCGCAGCACACGCAACGGCAGCACTCAAAGATGTATAATGTTCCCCGTTTTTTACACATTTGCTGCTGTTTGCAGTTGTGATGTTTTATAGCATAAAGACTTCCTCAATAAATGTTACTGTTACTTAACTAACACAAAAATATTTTTTTACTTCAAACCTGTAGTTCCCGAGAAAAGCGCGTTTAAACAATCAAACGAACTCCTAAGCTTTATTTTATAAGTATAGATTATGACCACTCACTCGATCCCTTGAGTCAATATGCACTTTGCCGGTGTCCAGAAGTTGCCTCAGCCTGTCGCAGTCGCCTCGCAGCGCGGCAAGGTGGAACTGCACGTCTGTTCGAGATTCTTTCTGTAAGAATCAAAATGTACTTTCAGTATTAGGGTCTTATCGTCTTTAGAAATATCAAAAGTTTTAAAGTTCTCAATAAAATCCGGAAGGTAGTTTGGGATTATGAAATGAAGGTAGTAAATATTATATTACGGGTATTTTTAAATTAAGTAAATTAATAAACATATGTAATAAATATTTGTTTTCCTATTTTCTTTCTATAACAGGGGACAGGCTTGAAAAACGATAAATACCTATTAAAAAAAACTCATTCATGAATTGATATCGAAAGAGAAGTAAAACTTTTTACGGGTTTCGTTAAAACTCAACATCGTCGCCACTTAGAGAATTTTCTACCTATCGTTTCGTGTCCATATGTATTAAAACGTAGGAAAATGTTAGTGTGATTGTAAAAAACATACTATAGACCGTATTTTCGACCAGTATTCGGTTTCATATAAATGCAAATCCCCGTTCGGTTTTTCCGCAATCATCAGAGACCGCACAATCAGCTCGGAAAGCGTGCTATTAACAATAACAGAGACGTATTTATCGCATCATCGGATAATGGCATTGCATCAACGGTACATTTAACTGTTACAAACTTACAACCAATCACACACGCGAACTGGTACAGTGTATCATCTCGGATTGCGTGGATAATCTAACAGAAGCCTAGCCATGTGAAGAGCTCGTACGATAACATCATATATAATACGTTTTATAATTCTACTAACGCGAAACTTGCTTTTTTTATGAAACAACCAGACAAATATGGAGTTACTTGATGGAAAGTGACACCAGTCATATAACATTAAAACAATGAAGTCCTGTTTTGACTTTGAGAATCCACAGACCTTAACAACTGATCTACGGCTCTTCCGTCTGTTTACGGTCGAGATTGTGATATGTCCACTTGTAATTAATATCCAGATTTTCCACACGCAGTCAAATATGTTTCTAGATAATTATAAATTACATTTAGTTACTCTAACATGTCACGTTTGCAAGTAGATCAGAAGAACACGTTTTATTAACATACCGATAAAGCAGCTGGAAAAAGTTAGTGTTAAAAGTACTGGGCCAAACTGGGTCATTGTTTAAAGTATTTTTTTAGGTTAAGGTGTAAAATCTAAGGTTTTTTGTGTATAATATACAAAAAACCTTAGATTTTACACCTTTTTACTTTTTGTTTACTTAAGTATATAGGATTAGGATTTGATGTCGTTCTACTGCTGTGGTTAGAAAGGTACCCATGTCCTATTAAAATTAGAAAATAAGAAATAAAGTATTTCTTATTTCTTAAGCTTCTAATCTAACAAGAGGAAGAAATGCCACACGATTTTATATAGTATATAACTAATGCTTTTAAAATACCGACCATTTTGAATCCAGTGCAGGTGAACTGCAAAGGTCAAACAATGCAATTAAAGTGGGGTATGGGGCGTTCACTAATTGAATTCATCCGCGATTCCCAACTCCGTTGCACAGCTGTTTGTTTGTCAACGAATTATGAAATATTTTTAATTATTAACGTCATTTACTTAAATCGAAAAATACATCTTCAATTTTAAAATAGTCAAATGCTACACGTACATACAATAAGATTTTAAAATTGCAACAAATCTAACATAAATAATATGATAGTAAGGTTTTGCCAAGTGTCACATTGGCCCTCTACCATCAATCTTCCATGAAGGAAATAACTTTATTTCCAAGAGACAAATTCCATAGCTTAACCAGACGAGGTTTAGAAATTACTCTTCAAAGACATGCGAGCAGCGTGAGCAAGAGCCATCATAATAGTTGTTGACTACTTCTCTCCTAGGGCCATTAATTTAGTAATGGGGACAGGGAAATTACGTCTGACACAGTCGTTTAACTTAATGACCCACCACTTAGACAGACATTTAAATGAAAACTGTCTGGTCTTAGATTGAGACATAATATTCAGATGTCGTACGGACTTGCCCGCCAAACATGAAGATGAGTAGTGGAACAAATACACATTTTAAAATCGATGAAGCCGTATTAATGTAAGTAACGTGTAGATATCCGTAAATTGTTTCGCTTTTATGTCTCCGTTAGGCAATGTCGAAGCTGAGTTAGCAAATGCTAGAGTACAATAACGTCCATAACCCATGATATCGCGTCTCACAGCACGAATCGAATGTTGAAACGAGTTTGTCGGTCCTGTCTGTGCATCTGTATTCAATATCCAAGGATCGCGAGGTCAGGATGACTCACGGAATCTGGCGAAAGTTTAAGCCGTTTTAAGTGCGCACTGTTACACTTTTCCATCCGCAGAAACGATAATATAATATTGCATGATATCAGATGGAAAATTCGATATACGGTTGTAAACCAAAACAATTTTATGTACTTCTGAAAATTGTATTGTTAAAGGATAATTTAAATTAGATATAATAAGTATTTTACTTAATGTATACAAGCACCTAATAGAACGAAATTAATAATCTTTAAATTACATAGAAAGAAATGAAAGCTTCAAAGAACCAACCCTTCAAAGAATGTTAGCCAAAATGCAGTCATTTTGGCTAACATTCTTTGAAGGGTTGGGTTCCATGCTATACCTTCAAAGACCACAACGGTCATCTTGACAGTACTAGAGATTACCGCAGAATACTTATAGAATTGTTTAAAATAACCTTTTGTATTTGTTCCGAAATTTAAAAACACATTTCTGTCGCATTAGACAATGGCTATAGAATAACCAAAACGATATTCCACGCCTCATAAGACCGATAACGTCGAAAATGATGATTGATGGTAATCTCACTTTCACGAGGTTAATTCGCTTTATGGCTTCACTGGCTATTGTGTAACACGATGATCAATGGATTACGCAAAGGTTACCTCAAGAAACCTGCTTAATCTCTTTCTAATGACTTTCACAGGATCCAAAGTCCCGAAATCTGATCAACACAAAACTATCTAACAACAAATGCTGTGTTAAAGGTATTCTGAAGATGTCATCTTACTTACCTACCCACATTATATTATATATTTTTAATGCAAGTTATTTGTGGAAGAGCAGAACTCTATAATGTTGGTATACGTAAACCAAAATGAGATAGTCATTAAAAACGTCAATTATTTTCTGATTGTAAATTTCCAATTATTAAATAATACACAATAGAAATAATATATCATATAAAGATACAATCATACGAACATACTTAACGGAAGCATAATTAGGACTGTAATATTTATAAATTAAGTATTGCCACATTATTAACACTCTTTGTAGTGTTGTAATAATCTTATCCGGAAACATTTCTTAACAGTTGACTAAAGACAATTGTAATGCATTGTTTCCAAGCGTACACACTATTTCACTTAGCTTACAAATACTCGATTCAATGGCTAGTAATTCCACTAAAAAGTAAGAAAAAAAAAAACTAAATATAAGACAATGCAATTGACACAGATCTCATAATATAAGATATTATCTCTTGCATAACACAGCCTTTAATTTAGTTTTAATTATGAGTTTATAATAGTATAATGGCAAACAAAGCTTTTTATACAATATGTATTTAATACGAGTTTTATAGGGGCACTTAAGGGGACTTTTTTGGGACACAATATATATATATACTTTGGTAAACGGGTTTGCTTATATCCAAAATTCTCGTGTCACGGTGTTCGAACCTGAACTCCTCCGAAACGGCTCGACCGATTTTCACCAAATTTGATATGTGTATTCAGTAGGTCTGAGAATAGGACAACATCTATTTTTCATCCCCCTAAGTGATAAGGGTTCTTCACCCTTAATTTTTTTTTTACTTTTTAGAAAAAAATTTTAGTTTCTATTTTTTTATGATACAACATACAAAAATACATACAATCCTCAATTTTTATCTTTCTACGATCAACCCTTATTTTTAAATAGACATTTTAGTAAAATTATTTATATGGCAAAACAACGTTTGCCGGCTCAGCTAGTCTTCAAATATAAATTAATGAGATTGAGTTCAAGAAGTAATATCAATTAAAAACCCACAGCTAGTATTCATATTTAAGCTATCACTGGTCAAAAATATTGGTTCGTGGATATCGCGGTTTTCCCTCACTACTATCATGCAGATAGTACTCCGGTGTACAACCGGTGATGGAACATCCGATCTCATCACATGCCACTGGCCCGTCACGCTATCTATTAAGCTGGAAATTGTAATAATAGAGACCAATTCCGGCGATACACTTTCCACTCAGTCATCCACGTCAGTTGGGAAGCGACAGCACATTATAAGCATATTTGCACGCGAGCTCGTGTCTCCAGAGAAAGTTTACATTTGACACCGTTAATGCTCCTTCACGGTCACATGGCACGATGCACGATCCTTTTTCGTGTTTTCTACTTTTTCTTTCAAGATGTCTCATATCAGAATGTATATACGTTGTTTCATAGGACGATTGTGAGAGAAGCCCATGTTGATTTAGATGTGAGTGGAACTATATTTAAATTCGCTAACATTCCATCTTAGAACGTGTATAAAAAATCTTTACATATACATATATGTATACCCATGATCTCCTGAAAACGATTTTGAACTAAAGTGTACCATAAAACTAATAAAGACGGCACGGTAGATTAAGTCCAGGAGTGGAAACTAGTAAAGGTGGTTCGGCAGGAAAGATTATATTAAAATAATATTTTCATTACAGTATTACGAACAAAAAGTTACCAATCGACAAAACTTTGGTTGTAGTTAATAGGAAAGAATTGGTAATAAACAGTGAATCGTAGACACTGTTCTAGATTATTTGAAACAAGTCTTATCAATCACTAGGGCCAGCTTCAGTTGTTGTTGAGTAACAGGCACCAACTGCCAAAATTACTAGAACAGATAAATCACGTTGCCGACTTGAAGTTAGTGGTCGAATTTGGAGCAAGCTTTAGAAATAGAGAGTTGTTTACATCCGCCGTCACGTCCTACACTTTTTGTGATTGATAGTAGCACCATGAATTTAGTCTTTTTTGGATTGACCTAAACTTCACGTCTATAACGAGAGAACGATCTTCGCTCTCTTAAAGTATGGATAGTTTTTGACGGGTTCATTGATCTAATGGTAGAAACGTATGGCCAATAATCAAGGGGTCGTGGGTTCGATCCCCACCGGGAAAAATGATTTCTAAACAATTTATAATTCTTCCGAAACATGCGGAAAATGTAAGGAAAAAAGAGAACCTGGATATTAAAAGGGTGTTAGATATATCGAAATTCCGCCCGGGTCCCGAACCACTGTCCACAGATGAAAATGCCGTAAGGTTCCGGTTTTAGTCTATGCCTTTACGAATATCCAAAGTCAAAATAGGACAGCACATCTTGTTTGGATGTTATGTGGCTGGGGTATTTCATCTACCACCTCTACCTCTGTCCTGCTCTATCATAAAAAGTAATTATTGACATTTGAAACAATTATTAATCAAGTTTCATCGTTTTAAAGGTATACTTTATACAAATAATATATGTTACTACAAAAGTACCCCCATTTAATAAGTTATTTAATAAGTAGGACGCTACATTAAGCTAGTAAATTTCTGAGAATTTATCAAGCTTTTAGTATAGAAAAAAATTATTTAAATCGTTTACACTTTATTAATTGAGTAGACATCCCTTACTGAGTACAAGACTATGAGGCATGACATAAATGTAGAAGTACCGTCTTTTCACAGAAATATTAATTATGGCCACCCTACTTCTCGCCGTTCTTGACAGTTAGCGCCGCACAAAGCACTGTTATTGTTTTTTTGCTGACTTATGTAACTGCTTGTTCTATTTCTAATAATGCCAACTATACAACTGAGCGTCCTTTTCAAACAGTAATTTCCCAGTTAACCATTTTTATACACAGTCAACTCAAACTAACCCTTGTCCCAAGCTCTTATTACGTACTTTAATAATCCTTAGACTATATGTTTTTACAATATCCCTTTTGACATTATTCAATCAGATATATCAACCAGTTCAAACAGCGAAACGAAATGAACAAAAATCATTATGAACAAACATTTTTATATCACTTCAAAATAAACACTTAAAAGTACCTAAGTCCAAGATTATTATTATTATTTCATTGTCACAAGAGTACTAATGTTTAAACGGTAAAGTCGATACACAAACATTAAAAAATCTAATAGTCGCTAGTCGTCCGCGAGAATCATTATTTTGGGCATTCAAATTAGTTTTTACAAATACGTATATAATAATACATACGTATTTGTAAAATATAATGTAAGTAATATAGCGTCGCGGACTTTTTTTAGATCATTTAAAGAGGAATCATTTTTACATATAAATTTTCAGGTATCTTGAACCGTTTTGGCAGCCGTTGCGTTCACATTTCCCGCTGGATCTTCGCTTCAATTAGTGACAGCGCGAAGTTATATATACATGTATATAGCCTATAAGCCTTCCTCAATAAATGCTCTAAACCAACACAAAATAAATACTCAATTCGAACGCGTAGATTCCTGAAATTAGCGCGTTCACAAGCAAGCAAACAAACAAACTCCTCAGCTTTATATATGTATTAGTATAGATTTCCTCGCGTAAACTATAGACAATAACAAACTAAGATATATATTATTAAGTACAGAGTTCTTTTTTTATAGCGCACGCCAAGTCATATATTACATCAATACTACAAAACAGAGGAAACATAATTTATCAGTAATTAAGCAGCCATACAGCCGCTCGTTATGTGCATACAGTCATGCTCTACATAATAACATTTACTAAGATCTGTTTTTTTTAGTATGAATTACAGTTGCTTAACACGAAATGTTGTTATGTGTGCGATTAAATTCCTAGATAACATTATCAAAGTGAATCTGCATACTTTTCATCATCGGTCTTTACTACGCAGTACTTATTCATAGATTCCGCGCGACATACATTTTTGTTTTCCCCGAAATCGAACACAAGGCCTCTCGAACTTTACGAAATGGTTGTATCATTTTGCAACAGAGATTATTAAAAAAAAAAAAAGTTAGTTGTTGTGCAAATGATATGGCATTTAAAGCTTAGCTATGTTTTATAATACTGTATAAAAAGTATCATTTTTTTAAGCGCATACACGTTCACGGGGTCACTTGATAGTAGATGAGATACCCCGGCCATATAACATCTAAACAAGATGCACTGTCGACCTATTTTGACTTTGGATATTCGGAAACCCTGGACACCAGTGGTTCGTGGCCCGGTCGGAATAACGATATCCCTACCCATTACTTTTCACATTTACAGACAAAGTTTAACATGATTTTGAAAAATTATAAATTGATTAGAAAAATGTTGTACAGGGCGGGGATCGAAGCTACGACCAGTTGATAAAGCCATTGCTACTAGTATACCGAGGAGCCCGTCTTTAGATATTTTACTATAAAAAACAGCGTTCACCATTCAATAAACTGAGTGTTTTCATAAATAATGAAAGGCTTAAGTAAACGTAAAATCGAACGCCAAGGCTAACAATTTCAATAGGATATAATTTTCCATTGTTGTTCGTCCAATTTATAAACCGTAGACTGTAATCATAAGAATTAGACGAAATACATGTAAAATGTTATTTTCCCACATGTGCATTCAGTAAACTTTTTTCAACGCGAAATATATTAATAGTTAATTTATTTTAATTACGACCCGACATTTCGCATCGTACATATAATATATTCCAAATTTTACTCCCATAAACTACAGACTTATATTTTTCGCCGTTTAAAACCGTTAGAGGTTTAATTTAAATGTGGAGGTACTAATCGCATAAACTATAGACAACACAATAGATTCCTTTGCCCTGATCGATGGTAGTAAATAATAAATGTTAACTAATATATTTCGCGTTTTAAACCGTTAAATGTTTTATTTAACGTGTACTACTCGCGTAAACAGAGAAATATATCTTAAGTATTGTTTACAGACCTTGTATTATATAGATTGTCCGGATCGATTGTAATAATTACTACATTATTCTATTGAATCTAATAAAATTTCCCGGGGATTCGAATCCAAGGCGATTAACGCAATACTTAATAAAGCGTTTAACTGCTGAGCCATGGGGGGTGTTAGAAAAAATGTATACACTTAATAATTAACACGATGAGTTATATTCTTACTTAATGTAAAATTGCGCTTCTTCTTAACGGAAACAGAGAACATGTTATCATTAATATTTTCCGTTTTCATAACGAGATGATAATCGCTTTTATAACTTGCGATATAATTTACTAAAGAACTTGGTTCTATTATGAATTTTATACCCTGCTAATGTTTTAATAAAATCATTTATAATATGTATATTTATGTTTATATTATAGAAAAGTTTTTCCTAGGTGTACGAAAACCGCCAAATTATAAAGAAAGCTGAAATTAGATTTTTATTCCATTGCAAGTAATAAAAAAATCCTCTTTCACACTTAAATAACCTCACATTTTAATTAAACATTCTTGTTCAATAAAAACTTATAATACTAACATCATATCGACAGAGAAATAAAAATAAAAGAAAGAAAATGAATAAATACCATTACTGTGAAAAAACAAAATATGCACTAATGTGTTGCGCGTGCGCATTGTGCTGCACAAAGGGCTTCACCGCAATCAAAGTGCGTCGAACTTTATGTTGCTACATCGATCTATATTTTTTTTCTCTTCCCTTTCGAGCAATAATGGATTGGTGCATAACTTTAAAATTTTCAAGATTCACTATGCTTGGAAGATTTATACTTTGAAAGGTGAAAATATACAATATCCGCCATAACTTATAAACAAGATGTTCTGTCGTTCTATGGGCTTTCATGATCTGTTAGGACCTTGGACATGTAGAAATCCACAGACTGAGGCTGAAGAGCGTTTCATCTGGGTACCCTTCATGATCCCGACGATATTTCGATAATCCTATCACCCCTTTAACGTCCAGGAAAGTTGGACTTTTTATATGTTGTGCCAATGAGCATGTCATAAGTGCTGGTTTTCTTACAATCCTAATATTGAAAGCAAGTTATGAATTTATTAAAGTGTCACTTAACCTTCTTTGCGTTTGCGCCGTCATTAGGAAAAACCTTGACTTTAACCCAGAGCAATAAATAACTTACTTGGCAAACGGCACTCGGTATTTGCTAACAAGTGATTATGTGAGACACAAGGTCGATATTATCGCTTATGCAATAAGATATGCATTTAGCTGCGAACTTAAACGAAAACTTATTGATTTCATACATCTCTTATTTTTAAGAGATAGAATTATTTACGATGTTATGGTATATATAATTTAATTGATCGTCAGAAAGTATT